CTGCCACCGCCAAATGCGCCTGCCGGTTGACCTGCCACCACCAAATGCGCCTGCCACGGCTATGTGCGCCTGCCACTCGACCTGCCACTGCCAAATGCGCCTGTCACTCGACCTGCCACCGCCAAATGTGCCTGCCACGGCTATGTGCGCCTGCCACTCGACCTGTCACCGCCAAATGCACCTGCCACCCGACCTGCCATCTCTCACTGTTTACACCTCAGATTCATGCACGTAAGCAAACAGACCATGCAATTCTACACTTATTTGCGGCATTATCTTATGTTTAATCCTGTCTTTAAATCCATAATGGAGCGCACAGCACCTGAGCGTCGCACCACCTGTTCGCAATAGCGGTGACGAGTCGCGAGGCAAGCGCATTCAGCGGGCAGGGTAACGTGGCAGGTCAAGTGGCAGGCGCACATAGCGGTGGCAGGTCGAGTGGCAGGCGCACATAGCGGTGGCAGGTCAAGTGACAGATGCCACATAGCGGTGGCAGGTCGAGTGGCAGGCGCACGTAGCGGTGGTAGGTCGAGTGGTAGGCGCATTTGTCAGTGGCAGGTCGAGTGGCAGGCGCACATGGCGGTGACAGGTCGAGTGGCAGGCGCACATAGCGGTGGCAGGTCTAGTGGCATGCGCATTTGGCGGTGGCAGGTCGAGTGGCAGGCACACATAGCGGTGGCAGGTCAAGTGGCAGGAGGTCATTGATATGACAACTAAAAACAACAATAATAATAAAATTAATGTTGGGATTTCAATATTCGTAAGGATTTACTTTTAGGTGTCGACAATACGTCAGTTTTATACGTTTAAATGCTGAAAATACGTAAGTATTTGTACGTTTAGATGCTGAAAATACATCAGTATTGTACGGTTTAGTGCCTGTAAAAACGTAAGTAAATGTACGTTTTATAGAACCACATTTTACGTAAAATACATAAGAATTATCATGAGATCACGTTGCACATAGAAACACTAATAATACTTGACTTCTTTAAGAGAGCACTGCTCTTGTGCTGTTTTAGTTCAGAATGAAGAACAAAGATCTTTACATTCAGCAATCAGCAAGGGAAAAAATTATGTTTGTGTAACTGAATCATCTTTTTTTGACCCACAATCATTTGTACAGCGATCCAGTGCGTTGTGATTGGCCAAATGCCTCATGCGTGTGACAGAAATGTTAAAGGGATAGTTCATCCAAAAATGAAAATTTGATGTTTATCTGCTTACCCCCAGGGCATCCAAGATGTAGGTGACTTTGTTTCTTCGGTAGAACACAAATTATGATTTTTAAGTCCAGCCGTTGCAGTCTATCAGTCGTATAATGCATGGCAATGGTAACAAAATCTATGAGAGTAAAAAAAACATGCACAGACAAATCCAAATTAAACCCTGCAGCTCGTGACGACACATTGATGTCCTAAGACACGAAACGATCGGTTTGTGCGAGAAACCGAACAGTATTTATATAATTTTTACCTCTAATACAACACTATGTCCCACTTCCTTGAGTGCGCGCACGGCATCCGATGCGTGAGGTGTGTATGTGCTCTGGCGTAGTTTACATTAATGGGTGTGTTGATATCCAGCCGAAGAGCAATCAACCATAACTTCAGGCGAGCAGGCTCAGAAGTTGGGAATACGTGGAAAGTCACCACTCCCGAATGAGTTCGCGCGAGAGAACGTAATCTTTTAGTTTTAAGTCGGTTTGAACAATCCGGATAAGCGCAAGTACCATTTTGATTAGCCGTCGTGCCTACAATGACTGTGCACTGTGTAACCAATGAGTGACGTATACACGCGAGAGATCACTTCCGGCGTTTGCGTAAACTACGCCAGAGCGCGTACACACCTCACGCATCGGATGCCGTGCGCGCGCTCAAGGAAGTTGGACATAGTGTTGTATTAGAGGTAAAAAATTATATAAATACTGTTTGGTTTCTCGCACAAACACATTTTTGGGTGAACAATCCCTTTAAGAGTTTGCATACAGTTTGAGCGTGAGATCGCTAACACCGATACTTGTGCCAAAATTAAACCTAAGAACAAGCTAATCATAATCAAGATTTAAAAAGCTGTGATTGAGAGGTGAATAGAAAGAGAAAAAAAACACACACTCTTAAAAATAAAGGTTCAAAAAGAGGGTTTTCGCAGCAGTAGTTCTTAGGGCAACCTTTTTGATTACCCTTTTTTGTTTCTTCATTGGAAGAGATTTGGTGAAATTCAGTGTTACATTACTTGTTCACCAATGGATCCTCTGCAGTGAATGGGTGCCATCAGATTGAGAGTCCAAACAGCTGATAAAAACATCACAATAATCCACACGACTCCAGTCCATCAATTAACATCTTGTGAAGTGAAAACTGTGTTTGTAATAAACAAATCCATCAAGACATTTTTAAAGGAATAGTTTACCCAAAATTACTTTTTTCTTGAGTACAACAGTTAAGAAGATTTTTAGCTAAAACTATGGTCTTTTGTGATTTATAAAATGTCAGCGGCTGCCTGTCTTTGAGAATAAAGCATATTAAGGAACACAAAATAAATATACCCGTGGCTTCTGATGACATATTGAGGTCTTTTGAAGCTAAACCATTGTGCAAGAAACTGAACATGATTTCTATCCATAATATTGTTTCCTCCAGTAAAAAAGTCGCCTTGTCTGAATCAGGAGAGAAATATGAACAGATCAAGCACAGTTTACAATCAAAAACAGTCCAAAACAGTTCTATACAGATGTTTCAGTGGATTTTGATGTAAGAGAAACAGAGGATGGACTTTTTCACTGGAGGACGCGTTATTATGTATTATTTACTCATATTTCCACTTCACAAGACATGAATTGATGAACTGGAATTGTGTGGATTATTGTGATGTTTTTATCAACTGTTTGTACTCTGATTCTGATGGCATCCATTCACTGCAGAGGATCCATCGGTGAGCAAGTGATGTAATGCTTAATTTCTTTAGATCTGTTCCCATGAAGAAACTAACTCATCTACATCTTTGAAGGCCTAAAGGTGAGTACATTTTCAGCTAATTTTCATATATGACTTTAAAGTCTTCTTTGCCAAAAATACATCTGGAAACAGATCAAACTTGTCCTCTGTGTTTCCAATAGTCCCCTGGGAGAAAATGATGTCTGAGGCTTTTGATAACGCTGCTGTTAAAATGACTGTCATTTTCAGAAGGACTCTTAGAAGAGGTTTTGACTCTCACTGAGCAATTATACTTGTGCAAATGGCCCATACATCAGATTTCTGGAGAAGAGGCATTTAGCATCTACTGCTGACCGAAAATGTAAATCTTATACAA